GACCCCTTGGGGGAGTCCCCTCACTCCCTCCAACTGAGCCCCGGGGCCCCAGGCTCTACTCACCTTCTGCCACACCTCGTCCGTCCTCTCCGGGGCGCTGCGGAAAGCGGCTGTGATGTCGCTCATGGGGAAGGACATGTACTTCAGGGTGTAGTTGCTGTAGGGGGAGGTGTAAGGCTCAGAGGCAGGAGGTGTTAGAACCCGACCCAACCAAGAACCCAACCCAACTGAGAACCCAACCCAACTCAACCCAACCGAGAATCCAACCCAACTCGACCCAACTTAGAACCCAACCCAACTGAGAACCCGACCCAACCAAGAACCCAACCCAACCAAGAACCCAACCCAACTCGACCCAACTGAGAACCCAACCCAACCCAACTTGACTTAACCAAGAACCCAACACAACTGAGAATCGAACCCAACTCAACCCAACTGAGAATCCAACCCAACTCAACCCAACAGAGAACCCAGCCCAGCTCGATCCAACAAAGAACCCAACCCAACTCAATCCAACTGAACCCAACCCAACCGAGAACCCAACCCAACTCTACCCAGTTGAGAGCACAACCCAATTCTGAACCCAACCCAACTTGACCCAACTTAGAACCCAACCCAACTGAGAACCCGACCCAACCAAGAACCCAACCCAACTGAGAACCCTCCAGCTCAACCCAACTGAAAACCCGACCCCACTTTACCCAACTAAGAACCCAACCCAACTGAGAACCCAGCCCAACCCAACCAAGAACCCAACCCAACTCAATCCAACTGAGAACCCAACCCAACTTGACCCAACTTAGAACCCAACCCAACTGAGAACCCGACCCAACCAAGAACCCAACCCAACTGAGAACCCAACCCAACTCAACCCAACCGAGAATCCAACCCAACTCGACCCAACTTAGAACCCAACCCAACTGAGAACCCGACCCAACCAAGAACCCAACCCAACTGAGAACCCAACCCAACTCAACCCAACCGAGAATCCAACCCAACTCGACCCAACTTAGAACCCAACCCAACTGAGAACCCGACCCAACCAAGAACCCAACCCAACTGAGAACCCAACCCAACTCAACCCAACCGAGAATCCAACCCAACTCGACCCAACTTAGAACCCAACCCAACTGAGAACCCGACCCAACCAAGAACCCAACCCAACTGAGAACCCA